AAAGTCCATAGGTGGCTTTGGCCCACTGTCAATCAAACACTAATATGGAGGTAATGACATCCTATTGGCTCAATATCCTGGACTGATATTGCTAAGGATGGCTGGTAACTGCAGTTGCCGTGTTTTAGGGTTTCGTTGCGTTCGTGGATAGTTTAAGCTTGGTTTCAGCGAGGACTTAATTTCACATCACACTGACACACAAAGTTGAAAACTCTTTTTTGTGAAAGACGCGAAGTTTAAAGGGTACACCACTAGAAGTGGAGACGGAGTAGGGCGAGATTCGATTAATTGACGTGCTTGAGGGAATTATATCTTTTCAACTAACAATTTCTAAAACAAAACTGACTCAAAGCGATGGCTGGATTGTCGACAGCCCTGATTTTCCTCACGATGGCAATCACAGGCTACAGCATGGCCGAGTTCATTACAATTGAGCGTGATAGTGCCTTGGTACATGTTGATTTTCTCTTACCAGATTCTCATTGCCCTGGGAACCAGCCACAATGCGGCAATTTCAACGGTACTTCGCTTTCAATATGTTGGTGTTTTTGCCACGATCAACAAGGCAAAACTACTACTTTTTACGAGTCAAGTTATGGCTGCCTTCCAGTCAGCGATGTTCGACAGCAGGCAGGTATGATCGTCAGTCAGTTGCTCTAATCATAGTTTGTTAAGTTACGATATTTTGAGTTATTTTGGCCTCGAACAAACCTACTTTTAAATTGAAGGAAACCTGAAAATAATTGTTTACTAAGATAAAAAAGACTAAAGAGATATTAATAGTCCATAGAGGAACAAGGATGGTTAAGGATGGAGAAGACAAAACGGATTGCAAACGACGAACTTGAAAAATTTAGATACGCAAACCGTGACGTAGTTCCTTTAAACAAAGTTTGTGTTAATGAATGTGCAAGCATCTGAACAATCATAACTCTTTATCACTATAATGAACTCCTTGATTCGGCTATACAGAATTCAGAGTTATTAATATTCCTTGCCGTGCTTGTCTTGTCCTTTTTGCTGGTATAATGGTTGTAGAAGCCCTGAAGACTTGAAGGCGGAATTTCAATGACGGAAATTACGCTTTCAATATTTTATCTAAGTTTGTGAGTAACGCAACGGTCTCAGGCTTACTGAATGGCAAACCAATTTTTGTTTCTTGGTTTCCAAGTATCCTGCTAGAGTAGGAATACCTTCATGTTAAATAGCTGTTTCTTTGTTTTGAATCGTTTTACTTAATTTTTCAATCCTTTGTGGCTAAGATTGGCCGGTGTTTTGGTTAATATTTAATGAACGCTTCGCGCTTTGTATTGAGTATAGCTATAAATATAAATATTCGCTCTTAATGTTTCACAGCTTCAGTACTTCTTTATCGAATAATGATACCTTGTTTACGCCTTTCAAATTAACCAAACATGTTTACCAAGAAATGCCAACTCGCGTTATTAGCTTGGTAGAAATAGAGTGAAAAACACAAGCTATCGTTAAAGAGAAAAGAAATCCGAGCTCTCCCAACGGAAGTGCAATCCAACACCGAGGGCCAATGTTTCT